GGTGCTACCGCGGGTGCCTCCCTTCCCCTGGGAAGGGGGTGGTCTGGGAGCCACGGCTGTCTTAAGCAACGGGAGGTGATGAAGGAAAGTGGGACGACACTCAGTCCCCGCGGGCCAGACCTGAATGCTAAGTAATTGGCTGTAGAAGACCACAGATGTGGGGAGCACAGGGGTCAAATTTGGAGGCGTATTATCCACAAGCAAAAGCACAGGGGTAGCAGTACTGGCTAGCTTGCTTAGGAAGATTTAGAGAAACCCTCATGTTGGGGGGAGGGAAATCTAGACCCATATTTCCCACGTTGGAGGGGCCTACGTGAGGCCAGGGCCAGTCTCCAGCCTGCACACACCTTCAGTGTTGCCACGGTATTAGCCAAAACACCTCTATGCAGCCTGACAGAACTCACATGGCACTTCAGCCAGATTGTAGACCAAAGCCTTTTTTTTGTGGGATTTGGTCCCTAGTGCTAGTTTACTGGTATTGCATCCTTTGTAGGATGATTTCAGCATGGCATTTTGGCAAGTTCTTCATGCAGAATGTGCAAGGTCTAGTTGATCCTGAAGATGGGTGAAGCCAACTTGAATCTGCTATACACAGCCTTAATATTTCATTAAGACTGTTGTGAAAAGTCACTGTTGGAAGTAGGTGGCTGAAATAAGGCAACACACTTAAAACACGGATATTCATTTGGTTGCTTTGGGCAGAGGTGTGTAAGTCTGCGGAGGAATGTGAAAGGACCTTTCAGTGGGTCATGTGAAAGACGTCAACACAACCAGAACAAGCACCCGAAGAAAGACTTGGAATGAGGCCCTTTGCTTGGTGAGGGCTAAAAAGGGTTTGATGCTGTTTGCAATACGTTGTCCCCAGTGGTTTGATCTCTTCTGTACTTTTGGCAATATAATTTTTTATATTTCTGTAAATAAACATAACTATTGAAGATATGTGATGCTATCCCCAAATTATCTTCCTCTATGGAATAACCTAAGAGACGCTCAATTTTTGCTTACCTGCTTAGCTATAAAGATGCAACATTCAATATTTAACACTAAACCTCCTCCCCCAAACTATCTTTGCAGTAAACAGAAATTCAAAATAACCAGAGACAAAAAATCGTCATATGCAGCTAAAGAGGGCAGAAATGCAACATACTACACTGCCTCTCCATGCAACAATTCTGTGTGCACTGCTGCACTGCACAGAAATCAGTCTCCTCCTGTTCAACAAATAAGCGTCTATACAGAAGGAGGCAGCACCCACCACAAAAGAGAGATCACACTCTTCATGCACCTACACATTACAAAAAAAAAAAAAAAAGAAAGAAATACTGTTCAGCTCAGATGGAGACACATACTACAACTACAAAAAGTTCATGCACGGTTTTTCAGACAGTAAATCAGCGAGCTTTTGGAGCCGTTATAAAAGTGAATAAAGTGAAAATCATCTACTTTTCTAGTAAAGTAACCAAAGATCTAACTGATCCATAAACACCCCCCCCTTACCAAATTTCCTGTTTCAATCACTTCCTTAGGGTTAGCTAACATTTTTCAAAAAAGTGTAATATTTTACTCATTTATTATAAAAAAGGAGCCTCTTGATCCCTTTTTTTAATCAAGCATTCAAGTTCCATTTGATGAAATACACACCTGAATAACAACACTGAGCAAATAATTTAAGTAGACAAGACTAATCAGGCCTAGTCACTAGAATGCAGGAACTGTCAACAACAGAAAGATATAAACAAACTCCGTCTATAAAGCTATCAGTAACTGAACAGGCCAGCAGTAAAACTAGCAAGTTGAACCTCGAAAGCAGGTTGAATCAAGACAATGAGTCATCTCAGAAATGCTAGTTTCAATGCTTGTGAATGAAACTATTCTACCTGCTCTCCTACCATGAAGTGGCATTAGTTTAAAGGATCTATCGTTTTACACCGAGTTTCCAGCAGAGTTGTAGGTATTGAACTAACCATGTATCTTACAGCAGCAGCATCTTCTGCAAGTCATTTTTACACTCAAATTTGAGGAATCAGCCTTCTGCATATTAGTCTGTAGCTGGAAAGTTACCTTAGAAGAATCTGCTGTCTCAGACAGCTCCGTCTGGAACAAGAAAACACGCCGAGCTACTGCGCATTCCAAAACAATGACTCTGTACAAGCAGACAGGTTTGTTTTTTATGCCAGAAAAAAAATGCTAGCTTTGTCAGTGAAGAGGCTGCAAGCCCAAACTGAAAAGATTTGTACAATCGCTCTATTCAAGAACAATGTAAAAAATGCAGTTCATTACAACACTACCTATTCTTTTGCAGAGGATCCAGGACTGAAGGGTAATTCTGAACAAGGAAGCAAACGCTACAGCTTCCTGCTAGAAAGCTCTCTGGTATGCCATGTTGTCTCTGGGGGTTGTGCGCTCAGCTGCTTGGTCCACAACCTGTGGACCACTCAACACCCCCGAAATTTCGCAGAATTGCAGAATAGCTCAGGCTGGACGATACCTCCGTGAAAATATACAGACGATGAAACATATTTTAAGGTTGATGTGCTGTGAAAGGATTTAGAAGTCAATCTCAGCTGAGGCCTATGATGTTTCTTGGCTGTTCTAGAGGTTTCCTTCAGGGGCGAGCTGTAAGCAGACTCACCAGTTAACACCGGATCCAACCGGCCCTGCGGCATGGGGGGGGGGGGGGGGGGGGGGCGCGGGGGGTTCGAAAGGGGTTTGAGCGTGACCTGTGATTGGTTAGAAGCTTCTGGAATAGGACAGCAAGTGCATAAAAGGCCATGTTCCGGCTTGGTGTTTAGAGAGGCTGTTGGTGAGGCATGTTCTGGCTGGTGTTGTCTGCCATGTGCTCTCACCTATAGCTAGCTATAGTAAATAAAGTCTCTGTTCAGACCTGACCCAAAAGCATCGAGTGTTTCTTCAACAGTAGTTTGCTCAGGGCCATGGCCAGCCAGCTTTTGAACATCCCCAAGGACAGAGACCTCCACAGCCTCCCTGAGCAACCTGTGCCAGCGTTCAACCATCGTCATGGTAAAAAGGTCTTTTCTTAGTGTAACTGGAATTTTCCATACTTCGGTTTGTGCCCGTTGACCCTTGTCCTGTCACTGGATAGCGCTGAGAAGAGTCTGTGTCTCCCTTCAGATATTTATGCCCAGTGATAAGATGCCCCCTGAGCCGGCTCTTCTCCAGGCTGAACAAGCCCAGCTCCCGCAGCCTCTCTTCTCACTCCTTTTCTCGTGTGGCTGCACAAATACCTCTTCCTGGCTTGCCGCTTGGGAAAAGGACTTCATTCCCTCACACCTCAAAATGCTATTATTCCAGGACAGTGCTCCATTAAATGTATTTTTTTTTTCAATTCCTCAAAAAAAAACCATTCTCTGAAATTTCACAGTTACGGCAACCAGTCTCAGCTATAGCACTGTAGATCTATTCATTATCTGCATCCCCGCTTTTTTCTCACTAAGACAAGGGAAGGGAATGCAGCGTATTAAAACATGAAACAAATGGAGAAATAAAGAGAAGCTGACAACAGTTAATATATAAACAGCTAAGTGATTTAAGAACTTGGACAAAAATCTATATCCCACAGAAAGTAAGAATGTTTGATTAGAAACAATAACACTGCAAATAGTACTGCTTTACTCCTAGTAGGAAATAATAGAATTGTCTGAAATAATGTGAAAAAGCAGAAATATTCAATAAATATTCCTATCCTGTATTTAGAAAAAAGAAACAGTGTTTTCATGGTAAATAGCAACATTGAAATATTTCCCATAACAGCAATAATATAAAGGGATAACAAACAGCAGCAACTTAAATTAAATATTTTTAAATAGCAGGTCTAAGAGTTGTTATAAAAATAAATGAAAGAAGTGATAAGCAGCAGTGCTAATCATTAAAGTTGATTCCTAACAACTTCTGAAATGCAGAGAAAATTTCAGAGAACTGAAGAAAGCTAATGTTGGAACAATATTTTAAAGGGGTAAATAGGATGACCTACTTAATTACAGGCTTGTCAGGCTGAGAGCAAGCATGGGCAAAAATATGGAAAGGCTGGTACAGGGGCTAAATTACAAAAAGAAGTCACAGGCAGAATAGGAATTAACAAACACAAGATAGGGGTGCAGGCTCTGCAGCCATGTAATTCCTCCACCATCATTTAATTTAGAGTATTTGTCAGCTTTAGTGGTGATTTTTGGCCTAACTAGTATGTCTATTTCCTCAAAAACAACCACCAATAACATGAGCTTACAGAACACAGACTTTGAAAAACTGTTCTGATGTCATTTTAGGAGATCATGCAGCTGTTTGGTAAGGTCAGTAGCACTGATAATATACCTAACCTCCTCAAAGCATGTATGTGATCAGATATCCACTGACATTTCAACGAATGAACTAGAATGATACAAAATCAACATTATATGCAATCCACAGATGAACTAGTAGGTTCCTAAGTCATGGCAGAGATATTTTTTTCTCTTACTATTGCACATTTTCATTAATGAAACCAGAAAAAAATTGCAAACTGCCTAAAGATGAGGGAACTACAAACATTGACAAAAGGACACATCTCTGGTGCTAAGGCTCTGGACTCTCTGACTTGCTGGGAACAACCTGAAACATTTCAAAACAAACCTAAATGTGAATAGGAACAAATTATACCTTCGATTTTTATAGGGCAGAAACACCTGAAAAAAGAGCTGGGGTTCAGCTTTTAACAAATATATATTAATTCTGGTTTAAAATGGTAGTAGATCCCTGGGATACATAACCCCTGTAGTTTGAAACTACAAGACATTATGTTTGTAAAAAAAGGCTTTACTGTGCCTTCACATAGACTGGCTGTGTCTTGATCCCATTGCTGTTAAAAAAAAAAACACGTGTAATGTGATCTTTATAAAAATGTTGCTTTTTTACAAAAATACTGTTTTCAAACTCAAGCACAGTGTGATAACTCGAATTATTATTTTTAAATCTGTACATATATAAAATTGGAGTAAGTTATCCAGTACAATAAAAGCAGTTGAAGTGCTGGTTGTGCTCGGTCACATGCAACTCACCAGACCCAAAGAACAGAAACAGCTAGGATAGATAGAAGCTTTCTGGCATGGGCTACTGGGTTTGGGTGTCTAGATACAGATGATAGCAAACTTGACATGGCACCAATATTACTGCAGAGCAAATCTGTCCCCACTGAAGCAGAGACATATAGGTGCTTGTGCTGAGCACGGTATGGCCCAAACAGTGGATCAGACCCCCAGGAATACAGTTGAGTTGTACTAGTTAATTATTTCAGTATGACTGTCCAGATGGTAGCACTTGGTGAATAACTATAATCTCACTCAAAATAATCAAATATACCAATATTAAACATAAGAAACAGGTAATTGCAATCTGAAAATGATCAATAAGAGAATCATCTATACAGAGCTAAGCCTAGAGACTGGTTTCTTTGCTGTCAAATTTCTAGCTCTGGACAAGTGATGAGCAGACCAAATTTTGTGTGACCTTTCCTTAAAGCTGTTTCTCATCATACATAGAGATATGCGGTGTCTGTTATGCAAACAGACCTTTTTTTTAATGGCCAGAGAACATCCTGTGACAGGGCTGCTATTTTTAACCTCCACTAATGCACTGTGAAAAAACACAGTTACGCAAAATATTTACAATGATAAATGTAATAATTTATTCAACAACTGGGAATCCATTGAAAATAGACAGGCGCTCTGAGTAAGTGCCCAAGAGTACAAGTAAGAATGTTCAGTGCAGTTAAAATGTCCTTTGTTTATTGAATTTCCTTTCATCCATAAAAACACCAGTAAGTGCACTGTAGAATATTTTCGAACAAATAGTAAGTATTAGAGACCTTCAGCTGTTGCTGAGACATATCAAACATGACCTTCTGTGCACGTGTCTGCCTTTAGATACTAAATGGAAGGAGCTGAGCACTAATACTGCAGAGTCTTAGATGCCAGAAGTGAACTATTCAATTATCTCCAGGCCTACTGCAAGTCTTTCTCCTCTCCTTCGTCTGCATTTCTGTCTTTTTAAACACTGAGCACTGTAGAATAAGGATCTGCGGTAGAGTCTTATTCTGCCACATCTCAGAATGCTTTCCACCATCAGTAATAAAATCCTAAATTAGCGTCATGGAGTGAACCCTTTTGGAAATAAACCTACACGTAAAGGATGTTTTCTTACTCCTATTTCTTCATAGTTAACTTAGGGGTAACTCCCTTTCAGAAGAAAGGTCTCTGGCTGATCTCTGCCACCGGTGGCACCCCATGAGTTGGAATCCCCTGCCCCAGGTGCTGCCTTCTTTCACCCCAGCTTCAGCATATCTCAGGGGAGCTTAGCTGTTCTCATGATGACTATGTCAAAGGATGAAATGATCTAGCGGCAGTTTGAACCTTTTCTTAATTTCTTTGAAAATCTGAATAAGACCTTAAAACAGCAATGACAAGCATGCTATGAGCTAGTAGAGAGAATCTGAGATTTGATCTACTATGTTCACAGCTACATAAGTCATGGAGAAATAGCCAGAAATGTGGTATCTCAGGAAAGATAGGCAAAATATCAGAGAAAATATAAGACAAAAGACTGAATTTTGAAATACTGATACTCCCAGGCCGCAGGGTGAACAGTCTTAGCAAGGCACTGAGACTCTGTGACACTCTAATTAAGAGAGGAAGTGAGTTACGGACTCTGTGTCTTCAGCACCGAGTGTGAACAATGCCTTGGCAAGAGTCACTTTTGCTTCTTCTGGCATTAGTTTGTACCAACTGTATCTCATCAAGAGAGGAACCTGCACTTCTGTTCGGCAGAAAACAGGATAAATAATGGCACATCATCAGCATAGTGCTGGCGTTTGAGCTCCGTATTTCACAGTGTCTCAAGCCCATCATCTCGATCAAATGCTAAAAGGAAACAGAAATAGGTATGAAAAGAATGCTACCTAGTATCTCTCTTTTGAGTTCACCTGGAAAGCAACTGGATTTACACTAGCACTGCACTAGCGTATCATTCTAGATCGTATGCAACAAAGAAATCTGCCATTAAAAGCAGTTCACATCCATTGGATCTACTGGTAAAGTCCTGTCTGTACAGAACTCCGTGAGAGAATTTTTACCGATTTCAATAGAATCATGATTTCCTCTATGTAATACTAGGAAAAACAAAAATACAATTCCAAATTTTCACCTAGTTACGGAATCTGCCTTGTTTTTATTTATTAAATGTTCATCACAACAGGAGAGAATTATATTCGAAGAAATTTCAGAGAAAATAAACTACTTTCCAGCGTACTCAAAACTAACAACCAGCTCGTCACGTCACGCAACACTCAAATTCTGCTCTATGCTCAAAAATGACTTCTGGCCAGATGACCCACCCACATAGAGGAGGCAATTTCCATTCTTGGCAGATAAGATCTATTCTACATCTAGACAGCATTGTGTTTGGTGGCTGTCTGCCAGGACCCATTAGCTTTCTTAAAGAGGTCCTGCTAGAGCCACAAGTGCTTGGGTATAATCATCCAAATGGGACTGAAACAGTCCCAAGTGTATCTTCTTTCTCATCAAGAAATAGCTACCAAATCCAATGGAGAGGAACCTAGAACAGCCCTCATCAACATGAAAATAGGAAAGAAAGGAGACGCTGCTGGAAGTCACTGAATGTACCCAGTCTCTTCAACAATAAATGGACAGTGGAACAATTTTTCTAGACTGTGACCGAGAGGAAGGTTTTACATAAACACCAACAGCAGCTGATGTTTGCTTTGGAATTTATTTTCATACAGGATGTTCATTTTTAATACAAGCTCTACTTAAGTGAGAAGTGGAGCTTCTACTACTATTTCCTGGTAGCAAGAAAACTTCCTTCCTATTCTGGGAGACCACAATACGGCTTCAGTTATTCCTGCTTTGTTACCACCTTCTCTCTAGGTTACAGCAATGTAATATACCTTGCTATAAATAATTAGATCTTAAGAAATTCTAATTAGTGTAGAACAAAAAAGCACCTATCGTTAG